TCTGAAAAAGGTTTAGTATCCGAGCAGTTGATGGGCACCATTGACGGAAAAAAAATACTATGGAAGTCAATGGTGCCCATCAACTGCTTGGATACTAAACCTTTTTCAGAATATCTTCTTTTGTGTTCAACAGCAGAAAGAAACTCGTACAGGTTTGGAACAAGTGGAGGGTGAGTAAATGATGACAGTTTTCATTCTGAAAGTGAACTACTCCTTTAAGTGATTGCCAGTGACGAGCGGGAAGAGAATACAGCAGAGTAACCATAGCAACAGGCAAAACGCGTGAAACAATGTGATAAAAAAAAAAAAACGTATAGAAAAATTGTTTTGATAAATGGAAATTAAAATTTAAAGTGACAAACAAAAATCCCTTCCTTGATATTCCACGATTTCGACAAAAAAAACTAATTGCCTGACTTTCAATGTCTGGAATAGACCTTTTAAAATGCCATGATATTCCCGAAATTCCATGACCCGTGGGAACCCCGAGAGATGCAAACAGGTGAGGAGGGGAAAAGGTGAGAACATCGCGCAGATTCACACGGAATCTCTTTTAAAGATATCTGCTTTACACGCTCATTTGAAGTTACTTAAGAACATTTTTATTATCCTTTATGTCCAAAACTGTAATTTTGTTGCAACATTTTACAAAAATCAAGATTGAATATATTTGGTAAAAATCCCATGTTATAAAAGATGAAGTGTTATGCAGGATTTTAAAGACAATATTGGCTGATTAGACAGCAACAGCTATGCTTCCATACACCTATTTTTAGAATATTGCATAAAAAAAAAGCGCTGGATGGAAACACCAAGATGTGCATAAAATCAAATATGCGCATAAAAAAAACATATGCACTCAACTAAGTAGGATAAATGTCTTATCCGGTAAGAAAACATGCGCATGAACTATGATAGAAACACTTTTACTGAATACATTTCTTAATGCACATCAAAAAAGACATGCGAGTTTGTGACGGGGCAGAATAAAACTGGACTAATCAACAGACCGATCTCAACGCGCTGCATCTGAAATGCTTGAGCAAAGTCTCGTCAGAGTGCTTCGTTATAATTAACTCTCAGAACTGCGTTCCTAAACACGTCTGCGCGCTCTGAAGCTCGTAGTTTATTGTACACACAAGCTATTATATACAGTGCCTTCTCCTGCTGCAGCAAATTTAGTTCTCTTCGTGATGTTTAGCGCAAGTTAATCAGGAAGTTCTCTTCAACGCACAGGAGGGAAACGGTGCTTTATTCACAAATATTTTATGCAATATTCCAATTTTGCAATTTAGTAACTTTGGATGGAAACATAGCTAATGCGGACCTAAAATGCACAATGTTTGCCCTCTCTCTCTCTCTCCCTCTTCACCGTTCCCACATCTCAGACCTCAAATACATCAAAAATCACCCTTTTTAAGACAAAGTTTTGAAGTAAAGATGAAAGAAAATACTATATAAAGCTTATTGAAGCAACCAGTTCTTCTAGTCTCAATCCCCCCCCCTCTCTCATAAAAACACTTTCTCACTGGATCCAAGCAAATCTCACAGGGGACACATTTTGATCTCAAAAAAGTGAGTTGTCACTGAAAGGTGAGGAGGTGCATCTATGCTAATAGGATGATGAGGAGTGTAATCCTGCTGACTCCAGCACTCTGTGATCCGCTTACAGTCTCTCCCGGGTCACCTCACACAATGTTAATGGAGGGCTTATCGCCATGGAGACGGTGGGAGGGGTCTGTGTGTCATGTGACTCGAGAGCAGGATTCAGTAAAACATGGAGTATTGATTGTAAGCATCTTACCAAGTGTGGCAGCATGTTAGCGCCTACAGCGGAGAGAGTTTTGGGCAGAATCTGTTTGACCCCAGAGACTGACGCCGGATGAACCGTCAGGAAGGACAGAACACCTGCAGCTGCGCACACACACACACACACACACACACACACGCCTCATTAATATTCATGAGTCCTGATAAACATGAGCAGTGTGATTCATCACAGCGAGCCCTGTGGATGTTTTGTTTACAGTAAAGCAGCTACAATAAAAAGACTTTAAAAAGCAAAAACAAGCTTAAAGTGCTTTTATTAATAAAAAAAAAATAGGAGTCATTTGAGGTGATCTAAGAAAATTAATTCAACTCTCTCTCTCTCACACACACACACTTTCTCACTCTCTCTCTCTCACACACACACACACACACACACACACACTTTCTCACTCACACACTTATTTACTATGTGTTTGAGTTTTACCTTTTCTTCCTTAAATGGTCAATTCAAACTAAACCACAACACAAAATCACCAAATGTAAACTAGATATGTAAAACATAACTGTAAACAAAGAAATAAAGGCTGTATTAAACCAGGGCTATTTCAGTATTGAGATACTATTACACTTCTTATTAATCTTCTGTAGTTTTTATTTGTAAAGATTATTCTTTTTTTAAGTTTTAGTACAGTTGTTGTTTACATAGTTTAATATTCAACAGATAATTATTGTCTTAGAGAAAACGTTTCTATATTGCATTTCAAGTAACAAAACTGCTTTAAACGGCTTTCAGTTATATGGAACTATAATAACCCTGCAATAAACACACGTCTGAGTGTGTAATCTTGTAGTGTGTGTGTGATTCTCACATCTTTCGCCATGATGTCAGTGCGCTGACCGCGGCGTGTGGTCAGTCTTCGGTCTGCGACTGCAGCTCAGCTGAAAACACACACATCACACATGAAACAATCTGAATCACAAGCTTACAAAAATGAATTAAGTTGTTATTTTAGTATATAGCTCAATAGTTTAGTATATATAGTTGCTATATATATGCAATCTACCTCATGAAGTTAAATGTTCTCCCCATTGTGCAATAAAAACATATGCAATAGCCTTATACTTCAGTTAAAACCACTGCCAGCGGATGAGCTGCAGTCACACAGCAACACATTAGTGACTAAACTGATGAGAGATGACCGTGTGACCTACATATACTACATATAAGTTACCCAACCCTGCAAACGCGCACACAGTCGGATATGAAGTTATATCATGCATGATTAATAAGCTAAATCACGTGTTTATTCGATTAAGATGAATATCGATCAGCTCTGAGGGAATAACGCGCGTACTGTAAACGTAAACAAACAGGCGTCGCACTTCTCTGGCTAGTGTCGGTGTTCAGATGAACGGGTGAAGCTTCTGTGTGTGCGAATCATCCTCGCGTCGCGCTGTACACGCGTCGTTCGCTCCTCACTGGGTAACTAACGTTATATATCGCGTTAGCTCGACGCGGCTACAGCTAAGCTAACCGAACCTAGCGAGCTAACGCTTCCCACACGACACACAAACTTCATTAACTCACGCTGACCGTGGCCCTTTCTCTTACCGTAACCAGCCCGCTCACAGCCGCGGCATATCGCGTCGATATGTACAGTTAGATGGACGAAATCTGTGTTTATCGCGCCAGAATCAGAGCGTCTACGCGAGTCGCCTCAGCTGCTCCACACAGCAGTCAAACTGAGCTTGGCGGTGTCCCGTGAGGACGCGCGCTGATTGGATACGCTTGGCGTGACGTCAGCGCGCATTCACAACTCCGCACGTGACGCATCGAAATCCTCTGATTTTTTTTTTTTTTTAAATAATGCCAAAATACTTCATAACAAGTTCAAAATAGCGCCGTCAAACGATTAATCGCTTCCAAAATAAAAGTTTTGTTTACATAATATGTGTACTGTGTTTGTTTATTACGTATATATA